CCGCGACACTTTTTTCGGCGAGTCCCATAGACTTACACGGCGAAGTACACATTTATGACCAGGATCAAATTTGTCCCTGGCTCGAGGGAAGTAGTTTAGCCAATGACACAACGCCATTGGGAGGACCAGGTTCGCATTCTGTCAATCGTACCCTAATGCGTAGTGCGTTTCATGTGTTAAAGACGGTAGTCGTCTTGCCACGCATGTCGGAATTGTATGGTCTCATATAAACAAAGATGGCGACTTGGATTGTTGCGCAGATCAACGAGTACACACTGAGACGTTACCAAGCTTTAAATTTGATATTTTTTAGGTGATTGGAAGGTATCGAAGGAGTCACCGGCGGTAATCAGTGCAAGTTGAGCCCAGGTCAAACCTCATGCTTGTGAATGTCATTAGAAGAGCGCATTGGATTGTGGGAAAATCAATGTTTATCAACAAAAATGTCGCACATGCGCAGCGCGACGACTGCCGCCCTTTAATTGGTAGCAAAAACATCGTATAACCTTGATCGTAGGACACTTGATAATAATCAGTGGCGACTACTTCTCTACAATTCATCAGGCATCTCAGTGGGGTAAGACAATAATGTCTCATGACGATCTAATACCAGCTCATGTTTTATCCAACTACGCACGCTTGCGCCTCATATTTTTACACTAATCGGGTAATTTTCAGACGTTTAAACATTATCATGATTCATCAATAAAAGGCCCGGTTGTGTTATTAAAAAAAAACTATAAAACATAAATTGAAACAATGTTATTGAAATCCGGACAATATGACATACACAACAACAATTATAATTATATAATCACGTGATTAATAAAACAGTGGTATTTTCCGTCAAACCTCTCGTCGCGTGACCTCTCGGGAGAATTAGTTTATGGTGATATTGGGTCTCTTAGGTAACATTTGTATCGTTGAATAACAAAATATCTGAGAAGTTTGGAATCAACTGGAAGATTGACAAGTATTTAATAAATGCTTTACGCATCGGGCGACATTAAAAATAGCGACGACGACGATGTTGTTGACAGTAATTCACTTTTCCATTATACGCATACGTACGCGAATAATATCCACGTGCACTGTCACCAAACAGTCGGCGTTTTCGTGCATTTCTATAAACACTTCGAGTATGTCATCACATTCTTCTACACATTTTTCTTGCCAATCCACTGAGATGGTTTGAATCGAAATATACTAGTACCGGAACGCAAGAAATGTCGCCAACTACGTTGGAATTAGTTAAATCCTGCGTACAAATGTGTGTGCTAGATTGGGGTCATGATGACACCTCGACGTCAATTACACCGTTGGACACACGTCGTGTACATCACGGTGGCAAAGCACTTGTATCTAATTTTCTATGTGGTACACGGTCTCTGCTATTTTCGCTAACAACTAATATTTACAGTACACTCAATGACTTAAAGCGCGGTGGTCGTCGTACAGCGCGTGTTTGAATTTCATGTAAATAAACAATGTATTTTACACGCGTTGTATACGTCGCTATGAGTCCCATATCGAACAGAACGCGGCACGACGACTGCCGCCCTTTAACCGATCTCATTCAGAGGACCGTTAGTATGAGCAACCGGTTATCGCGGTAACCCGCGGCCTACTACTTAGCTATAGTTGGAAGGGCGCAGGTTTCATTCTATAAATTAATCTACGTAATTATGACATTTTCAAAAAAGCTGAATATCTGAAGAGATACAGGCGATATTGTTGCCAAGGGCGCAGTATGAACGTGAAAACTGAAATTCACAATAAATCAACGATAAATCACTGTTCGCCATCAGTATTGTCGACTAGTTCCGTCGGGTATTACAGCAAGTGACATTTAGCGAGCAGCACCCTCGGCCTCCGCGCGAAGCCCTATCATCTCGCGAAATGAGCAGTTGCCACGTAACGGGGCAGATTGTTACTATGACGCCCGTGAGGATATATGCGGCCTTTACTGATTAATATATTTGAAGTTCTTTAGACCACAGAAAATGTAATAGGTGCTATAAAAAATCCGCTAAGTCAACAAAAGTTGCATTAAAATGTGTATGTATATGTAGGCGCTCATCATATATAAAGTTACAAAACTCTCAAAGACATTGTTCAAGATTTATTTGCATGTATACCATTATAACTGTTGTATCTGTTAAAATAGCTGACTCTCCTATCCACCCCAATTTAGTTCAAATTGTGGGCCCTTATCTGTTTCAAGGGAAAATTTTGCTAACCGTTTACCCCCTCTCCTCATACATTATCCGGCACATCTAACAGTTGTCAGCGCACACAAGACGGGCTTGTTTACCGTTTCCTGTGATATCAATTGCGCAATTATAACACAACCAGGCATCGGTTGTATTTGAAATGTAATGGGCGTAATCGGGGCTAATTGGGCAATTGAAAGAAAATTAGCACACAAACACCCCTTAATGGTCACCTTTTGCAAAGTAATCTTTTATTACGAACAGTCCTTGGTCACACTGGGCCATCGCAATTCCAGGTCGCAATTACCTCCTCGGTGTGTGAGTTGCATTCTAGTTCGCGGAAGATTTAGAGCCGGCATTCACATTGAGATGACAGATTGGAACAGATGTAATTTTCTCGATACAGTACATAATGGTGTTTAATCTATTTGTTTCGCTCGTGACGTCATACAGTGAAACGTACGATAATTGTGTTTCGGGTCACCCAAACGGCACTACCGTGACGTCAAAACAGAAATTAAGACATGTTTTGCCAGGTATAACACAGCATTCCCTGTCTCGGTGGTTTATTTTTATTACGTGGTCTTATTAATAAGACTCCAATACCGGGACACGGGTTTAACCGTTTAATTTTATTAGTTGGATTGTTGATGTAACCTGACAACTCAGTCGTATATCGCCCTCCAGTGACTAACTTCAATTATTCATTGGATGGAACACAAACTGTGCATAAAAGTAAAATGACCTACGAAGGTTGTAATCGTTTCGAGGGCATAGGTAGGAGAATATGTGTTTACGCCAATCACCTCAACAAAAGACACAAAATTATCACCAACAATAGAGGAGTCGCGTCCTCTAGTGGCGAAGCGAACCTATGACGTGAATAGCCCACCAGTAGCGAGACTGGGGTGCAGAAATACACCTGCTTTGTCATGGCGGAAAATACAAACATGTCATTTTGCTGATGTTCGATAGAAGGGAATTTTATTTTTGTGACGTCGATTGGTACAGCGTATCTTCGAAAGTGTACGAGGTGGCGTTCACAGGGTCGTTAGAATTATGAAATGTTGTCCGTCACTGAAGAAAAGTTCCTTTTTTCGAGAGATCTACGTCTTTTTAAGTTATGGGGCGCTAGACGACACAACTTACAAAAAAGACATTGCTCGGCCCCCATGATCGCAGATCAGCAGAGTTCGGGTTTTCCAACAAATATAATTGTTATTTTACTTGTCAGTAATCATGGACAGTTTTAAAATACCTCGATTGCCG